ATAAATTTAAAAAGTTACATATTTTCTGGAAATCAATTTTGTGGTCAGTCTTGGTCTGGGAGTTAACTTTCGCTTTGCTTGTTTGATTTTGCAGCCAGCTTCAGATCTCCATTCCAATAGAACTTGTATTGCTTCTCACGATGCAGAATATGTAACAAAACCAGTTGTTGCAGCTTCCCGAGCAATAAGGAGCCCAAGGTTATATATCCAACCTTTAACGATTATTTATGATTGAAGTCTGTTTTTCTATACCTTTCTATATACGCTTCATGTTTTTTTATGTTATTTAGACTGACTTGCTGTTTATAATTTCCTTATTCAGAGATAACACAAGAATGATCACATCCTTACCAGTATCTCCGTGTTCAAGTCCATTGCGACAGTCCGGTCCGGCACACAAGAGCTGTTTCCTTTCTCCTCCACATCCAACTTATTCAATGATGGGACATAATACCCTTGCTTCATATGAATCATATCCAATGAGATCAAATGCCAAGTTTACACTTGATCCTTGGCATGAAATACCTATGTACAAAGCCCACACACCTGGTGGATCCCCAAGGAGACTCATTTGAGTTTCTAAATGTAAATACCCCTAAATCTTTCTTGGTTTTCCCCGGCTTGCCTTGTGCTCCGTAGTTGAGCTTTATTCAATCTTAACTCTGAATGTTCAAACTATATAAAAAAACTCTGGTCCATTCTTTCTTTATAAATGAGAAATAGACGAAGGTAGAAGTGAGAAGTGTAGGAGCCGACTCGGTGCAGGCACTGGACTGGGGAGACCTTGTAGCTTGTAACATTTTTCAGTGATTACTGTAAACAGAAGGCGTTTGCCATGTTTGTACTTTGTAGTGGCGTTTTTGTTGTATATTGTTATTAGTCCATGGCAGAAGAAAAGAAGAGTAAATTTTATTAGATATTTCTTTTTTCTTTTTCAATTGTTTGTTTAGCTAAGAATAACACCTGTATGGTTTGGTCCCGTCTAATACTAAACTTTCACTTCAAGAGCCTGAACAAGAATGAAGGATCCAGATTCTCTGAAAAAGGTTCATTAATCATCATGGATTCACGTGAAGTTTGACAAATTTGTTAAGAGATACATGTTCAATTGTGTCACATTTGCTGGAAAAGAATTCTTGTGAAGTGTAATTTTGGGGTCAGATTTGTTGGGTGTGTGATAAAGACGAGAACACAACATTTGAGATTTGCCTACAAGCGCAGAGTTGATGTTTCTTAAATTTTCTACAAGCATGTTTTAGTTCTCTACATTATTGTTGTAATGTTGTGGGGATTAGTTTAATTTTGTTCCCAATGTCTCTCACGTGCTCTAAATATTTTATCTGTTGAGTGTGTAAATTTTGGGTTAGCTTCTTTGAACTCCGAATGTATTTTTAGTTTAACTTTTTTCTCAATGATTTAGGTTGTTGGGTTTTCCTACTAATTTTCATTTATGGAATATCTCTTTATTGGAAGAAAAAAACGATTATATATTGTGGTTTTCTTTTCAAATCACAAAAGAAAAATAGAACAAAATTGTGGAAAAATGTGGTTCAATGCAAATCTTGAGTACTATGAGGTCACACTAGTCTTAGCTAGGCAATCTGTTCAAAAATTACCTTTCAAATTTTAATCCAAATTTCTATGATAATTAATATGTTCGACTAGAGAAGTATCTGAGTCACGCAAGAACATTTGATTGAAAAGGTAAAAATATTTTTCAGCTTAACTAAAGGTTATGGGTTTGAACTCAATTTTGGGCACACAACACTTTTTTGATGGAGAGTATTATTGTGTATTGTGGTCCTCTCCGATTTGAAGAATTAGTCTTCGCAATTGCATACAGAGAATATTTAGTATATGAAAAAAAGAAACACGTATGAGTCATAAGAAAATACTCATTACTCACTTAAATAAGGATGCGATATTTTTGTCATTGGTTGTATTGTTGCAATTTCATGTCCTAATTTTCGGCCTAACTTAGACAGAGTTCCAATAAATAAAAAATGAGTAGATTGATTGTGTGATTATATCTTAGGAGTGAAGGGTTGAGATCCTTATCTGTAGAGGGATGGGACTTTGATATGATACATTTCATGCATTTACTATTTCCACTAAGATGATTCATTGGATTACCAATGGTTAAGTATAAGTTTGTTGGCGTAGCTGACTCACATATAGATGTTGCAACTCATTTTGTTTAAACATGGTCCATTTAGTTTAGGACTATGTGATTATGTCTAAATACTCGACTATTAGGCGTGTTAGTTTGCATGAATGACCTATGGGGTGAGTTTCGGCGTTGTGTCATCATTGTTGAAGTGCGCATCTTAGATTATAGGCCCGAGTCTCATTAGTATGCATGTTATGTAGTTTAAATTATGGATGGTCTTGATGGACGAAACATGGTGTATTTTAAGTTGAACTGCTTAGACCTATATAATTACACAAATCCCTTTTATCCTTAGCTATTTTAATAAGATATGAATCTAAAAATTAATTATAAAAATATATTAAGAATTTTGCGATGAAATTTCTTAGCGGAAGAGTATCGCTGATGTGGTATATGTGCCCCTAGCCTTTCAACTCCAGAAGAGATGAAAATCTAAGAGTTATGCATGGCCGCCACGTCATAAATTTACATGTGTTTGTGATCAGTGCCTAGATACGCATGTGTGCGCGCTTATTCATTTCATTAACGTAATGATCAGTTTATTAGGCATAATTATCGACATTGGATCTCTTGATTTTTTTATTTTTATGCCACTCGTTTGAATTTTCAAAGCCTTTCCTTTTATTGTGCACCTCGACCTTCAATATTTTTCTCGATACGTTAGGATAACTCAAGAAGAGGTGAAAGTCTAAGAGTTGTGCATGGTAGCCACATCAAAATTTTACATGTGTTCGTTATCTCTTCCTTGACATGTGTCTGTCCTTATTCATTACATTAACGTAATGATTACTTTTTATGCATGATTGAGATCATTAAATCTCCTATTTTTTTTCACGCTACTCGTCTGAACTTTCAAGCTTTTCCCTTTATTGTGCATCTCGACCTTAAATTTTCTAATTACATTCGATGATTCAAGAAGAGGTGGAAGTCTAAAAGTTGTGCATGGTAGCCACATCACAATTTTACATGTGTTCGTGATCTGTGTCTTGACACACTGTTAGAAAATATATCTATCACCTCGGCTGAGAAAAGGGTTTCATCATTGTGTTTTGTCTGTGATAACAAAGGGTGTGATAGAAAGTGCACTACTTTTCACCTCAAGCTAATGGCCGAGGTGAAAAATTAGATAGTGCACCACTTTTCACTACGTTGGACACTCTAACCGTGGTGAAAAGTGACATGGTCATCATGAGTTTGAGTTCTACGACAAAATTTTGGCATTTTTAAATGGTGCGTTTCACTAAATTTCTCCATGATTGAAATTTTAGCCAAGGTAAAAAAAACTTAACTTTCTCCCACGATTGTGACTTTAAATCGATGTGACAGGTTGAAGAGGATCTTTTTCTCCCCGGTAGGAAGATCCATCAGTGGAGAAATACTTTGTTTTTTTTTCTAATATAATTTTTATTTATAACATGTATTTTTATGAATCATAACAAATACAGAAACAACAACAAAATATAACGTTTGTGAATCAAAACCAAAGTGACACACATTATGAACGAAAATTATATATTACTACATCAAAACTAAAATGGCACACATTTTATACATTATTGCTTCAAATAAGGGAACAACCAACGTACAAAATTAGTATGCATTTGACTCTAAAGGAAGCAAGATGCATGATGTGAATGAGCATTTTTTTTTTGGTATCTTGTCTTTAAACAACTATAAGTTGAAAGAATAACACTTGTTGGCACACATATAAAAACCCTTAGAAATTATAACAAAAGAGTCATTATAATCATTTTTTTTTCATATGAAATATGTACATGTGTTGCAAAAGAAAGGGTTTCAGGAGTATCAATAATTAAATCTTAATTTTCTTTACTAATAGGAATGTTTTTTTCTTGGAGAATAATTGACCATATATTGTCAGAAGGATCAATGACATAAAAAATTTGTTTTACTTGAAATATCATGATTAATGGTTTGTTCATATAAGTTGTCTTGTGAATGTCTTCAGAAAGAGAAAAAGGCGCTTGAGGCGCGTTTTGGGGCCCTTGTTATAGAGATGTACAAGCTTCTCACTAAACTTGTCAATTCAGGTAATCTCTCAAGGAAAATCGGTAATGAGGTGTAAGCATTAAGGTATTGTTACCTATCCGTTGAGAAAGCACTTGCGTTAACTCAGGGGATAAAAAGAGAGATTCAACATTATCAATAATTTGAAACACATTGTTTGACATTAAAATAGCTCGTTCTTCTCACAAGACACTAAGGGAGTTGGAGATATCCTTAAATGAAGTCTGTGAAATTTTGAAGAAGGTTTAAGATGACTTTTGTGAGATGTGGTCTAAAAATGTTAGTTTTGTTTAAAGAGTAAGCAAAGACGAGAGAGTATAATGACTCTATAACGCATGCATCTTTTGAGAAGGCTTTTGAAGTAGGTGAAATTCATTCATCCATTGTTATCTAAAATTTAATGAGTTTAATGGTAGTGCACTATTAGTATAAAAAAGTATTACACATATATTCAATCAAAATATTTTAAAATATCAAATTATAAGTAATTAAGATTTACATATTTATTTGGTGAAATACATAAATGTGATTGATTGACAATATAAAAATCATTTTTCATTCTTTTCTCAAATTTAATAACTGTAATTAAGATAATTGTCATGTCCAAAATAAATAACCTACTCCGTAGTTTTCTTTTTGAGCAAATTTAGTTTATATTTATTAATTAATATTGGTTTATCATGAAGCTTCCGCGGGAAGCGACGCAATTTTGAACAGGCCAATTCCTTTTCTTCTCAAAACCCTAAACTCATAAACATGGCTTCGAGTTGACATTTTCAGGCTAAAATTGAACAAGATAAACATGCCGATCGAAATGCCGAACGGATTACCATTCTCCGTAGACACATGGACTCCACCCTCCAAAACCAGCAAAAGACACCATTTCCTCACACACGCTCACAAAGACCATTCCTCAAACATCACTTCTCATTCCTCTTTCCCTATTTACTCCACTCTTCTCACCAAAACCCTACTTCTCCAGCATTACCCTCACCTTCATCCTTCCTTGTTTCTCCAAATCGAAGTTGGTCAATCCTTGATCATCCATGATCCCGACGGGAATTTCACCGTCACCGCTTTTGATGCCAATCACTGTCCTGGTGCAGTGATGTTCTTGTTTGAAGGGAAATTTGGTAATATTTTACATACAGGAGATTGCAGACTCAACCTTGAATGTCTTCTCAATTTACCTGATAAGTATGTTGGCAGGAAAGGAAAAAAGGCTACTTGTTCTCTTGATTGTGTTTTCTTAGACTGTACTTTTGGAAATTTCTCTCGCTCCATGCCTACCAAACAATCCTCTATTCAACAGGTTCACTAACTTTTCACTCTTTTTTGCTTGCACCATCAAATCCATGAATTTTTTTTGTTGCTATTGTTATGAAAACTGGAAGTATGTTTATGATTTTTGTATTCAAATTGGATTTTGAAAATTTAAAAATCCCCTCTCTCAACCTAGAAATAATAATAAGATCTTCATATGTGATTGCATATTTTCATTTAGCATGCTCTTTAGAAGCTAGTTATTGGCAGAAGAACTTGTAGGGAAATATTCTCTTGTGAGCTTAATATTGTAATGCTAGGATATGATTTTTATATCATTAAGTATCTTGAACATTCATTGTAATAGTGTATGGACATTTTGTACATAAAACAGATTGGGCATAGTCTCGTTAAGCCAACTCAAATGGTAGTTGTGCAGAGACATTCTACTGCAAGAGAACAAGTTTGAAACCACGACATACCACTTATTCACCTTTAAGAGCTGAAATTTCAGACACTAGACCAAAAAATAAAACAGATTGGTCGAAAGAATATATTTAATTCCCAGCTTCATGTTTAACCCCTTCAACCTTGGTCTTTCTAGTTGCCAAAACTCGTCATTTCTATGGGTTGAAAATTAAATATGTTATAACATGAAAAATTTTAAGCCCAAACATGCTTTTTTGTTTGTTTTTGTAGTTCCGATTTCTGAAAATTTCATTGTATTACTAGATGCATATTACTGAGTTTGGAATTAATATTCAACCACATCATTTTCCCAAGCACAAAGATTGCATATTACCAAGTTATTTTAAGTTAAATTGATTCTATCATTCTGCAATATCGTTAACTCATTATGAGTAACAATGTTTCAAGAATTTAATAAGCTCTTTGTATGTGATTTCAAATATTTACTTCTGGAAGGAAATTATTGGCAGAAGAACTTGTTGGAAAATGTAGTATGATTACTGAACTCAATACTGTAATGAAAAGACATTTTTTTTAATCATTGAGTATTTGAACATTATTAACTTTATAATGTATGAGCATTTTGTACACAACAATTTGGCGATAATAATATTTTGATTCCCTGCTTCATATGTAGCACCTTCAACCATGGTCTTTCTAGTTGCCAAAACTCGTCATTTCTTTGTTAGGAATTGAATTATGTAATAACAGGTAGATTCTTAAGCCCGAGCATGCTTTCTTTATCCTTTTTCTTTTCTTTTCGCAGTTCCAGTTTTTGAAACTTTCAATGTATTAGTTGATAGATGCATATCAGTGAGTTATTTTTAGTTAATTGGATCCATCATCTGCAATATCATTAACTCATTATGAATAATGTTCTATCTGACAGTTTTGATTATGAAACTACAAAGCAGGTTGTTAATTGTATATGGAAGCATCCTGATGCATCAACTGTGTATCTTACCTGTGATGTCCTTGGACAGGAAGACATCCTTGTTCGAGTGTCTGAAACATTTGGAGCGAAGATATATGTTGATAAAGCCCAAAATCCAGAATGTTTCAAGAATCTAATGGTTACCGTGCCTGAAATCCTTTGTGAAGACCCATCTTCCCGTTTCCATTTATTTGATGGATCTCCAGGACTATATGAAAGAGCACAAGCAAAACTGGTTGAGGCCAAGGCAACTCTCCAGACTGAGCCTCTCATTGTCCGCCCTTCTGCTCAGTGGTATGCTTGTGAAGAAGTCTCAGATGTTCAAAACACTAGAAAAAAGAGGATGAATGAAGCAGTTAGGGATCAATTTGGTGTTTGGCATGTCTGTTACTCAATGCACTCTTCCAAGGAAGAATTGGAAGAGGCTCTTCAAATTCTTGCTCCGAGGTGGGTCGTTTCAACAACCCCTACCTGCAGGGCTATGGAGCTCAATTATGTTAAGAAGTACTGTTTTAATTCTAAAGCCAGCCTCAATAACTCTGTGCTCAAGCTTCTGGATATGACTGTGGAAAGTTACGACGATGTTGATGCAATTTTCAAACCTGTAAACTGTTATCCTGTGCCTGAAGGGAACCCTCAGCCTTGTGCAAAAACTAAATCACCTATCAAGCAGTGCACTGATGTGAAAGCACTGGAAGAGTTGACTCTTAATCGCTCGCCTGTCACATTATTTGGAAGAGCAAGGCTTGGTCTCCAAGATGTCGGCTTTTTACGAGTACCGTGCAATATTTTACCAGTTAATGCCCCTTTGCAAACAGATTCAAGTGATGCAAGACAAGAATGTTTAGGTGCTGCTGCTGAAGCGAAATGGGAGAGATCACCAGAAAGAAAGGAAGATTTACATAATGTGAATAAGAATCCGCAATCTGAGGTTCAAGAAAACACAAGAGTTCATAAGAGTGCCTCTAACGAAAGTATTGGATCCCCAGATTTGAGTGAATATATCAAAAAGTATTACAGGCCAATGACTATTCCCACGCTTCTTCCCTCGTTAGTGGATCTTAGGAATTCCATGAAGCGTGCCAAGAGGAGAATTGATCAGTTTTCTGCGGTTAACTTTGATCGGAAAATGCCCATGGACTGATGAATCTTCAGATTTTAAATGAATTTATTTCACCTTGCTCTTTCTCAGATTACTATCTGTGTTGCAAAAGTGAGTGCTTGGCAAGAAGCAGCAAGGTGGGAAGGCTGAATTTGCAGGAGCAAGGAAAAATGTTGTGGATTTGTTTCAATAATGTTGTATACATTATATTTTCTTTGAAGAGATACATCAAAATTGATATTGAGGAATAAAATTGAGTGGGAGTTCATGTATGATGTCCTATAGTGGCAATTGAAATAATTATTTCTCTCAAGACATGGAGCAGCAAAAGTTAAGATGAAAACTTCTAGTTGCATTTTATATATTTGTTGAATTTAAGATATTTTGTTAATATTTGAGTCTAACATTCAATAAATAATTTATTTTTCTATTAATTTAGTAATTAAAAGTTTACCATTTAAAAATAAAGAATTGAGGTGTTTTAAGTTCAAACTCACGTCCTTACAATGAAATGTTGGTGTAGCTATTAATTAAAATTTGATTAATTAAACAACTTTTAATATTTTATATATGCTTATTGCATATCAAAAATCCCATTATACTATTCTTAAATTTATAAAAAGAATATACAGTGATTTAAATCAAAATTAAAATTCTTTTGGCTTGAAATGAGCTAGTTTGTTGCATCCATAGCAAATAATTTTATTCTTGTCGATCTCTATTTTTCGAGAGTCTCTTTTAGGTTGAAATAATCTTCGATTTTGATTTTTATTTAGGATCATTTGTTGAATTATCTTTGAGATTAATGTAGGATCATTTTCATCCTTAGAACGTGATTCTCTATCTCATGATTTATGCTTTTAGAGGATATGATTTCAGTGCTAGCTTCAAATTTTCGTGAGATTTTTAAGGCTATTATTTTTCCTTTCTTTGCAGTTTATTGATCCGGTGAGTTCTTCAACTTGTAGTACTTTTAGATACTTTGTCTGAGAGATAACTGTTACCATAGGCCTTCAAATTTTTGGGAGACATATTAGAATTTTTATGACTCTTTAGTGAGTAGTGTAGATTTTCCCAAGAGCTGAGTTCATTTACGATAACAGTTAATTTTGCAAACACTTCGTCCACCGTTTCTTCTTCCTTCATTTCAAATGTTTCAAATTTTCTGACACCTATGTCAATTCTTTTTTCTTTAATATCATTGGTGCCTCATGATGTGTTTTGAGAGCATACCGTATTTTTGTACAATCTTCAATTCTATCATATTATTCCCTAATAAGAGCACATGATAAAATAAATTTAGCTTTTGAGTTTACAAGTACATTGTCATTTCTGTCTTTGGTCTATTTTGTCTGAAGTTTGGAAATTGATGTTATAGTTTCAGTTTGTGTGGTCATAGGTACGAAGTTACAATTTTCTCCTACTGACCACATATTGTTTTGAGAAAGAAAGAACAATCTCATATTTCTTTTTCAATAGTAATAATCTGATCCATTGAAATATGGAGGTCTGTGTGAAAATCCCTATTCAAATATAAAATTTGTTGATTTAAATATTTTTGTTAGGATCATTTAACTTTAACCAGTTAAACACGGTTGAGTGTTCTTTTATCTTCAGAGTCCGAAACTTTAATATTAGTTGTTGAAAAAATGAATGTCACAATAAAGGGGTTGGATTGTGACCTTGATATTCTAACAATGTTATTATAACAAATAATGTTTCTCAAATATTTCTTTAAAAAGAAAAGTTAAAATGAGTTTTTAAAATATTAGTAATGTGTGTGCGAGGATGTGATTAACAATATGAGGATAAGATAAAGTAAGATTAAAAACAAATCATACGCAAGAATTTATCCTGGTTCACAAATTTGGTTAGTCCAATCCTAACACCCCGTGAGATTTTCCTTTACTTGATTCTTCTTACAATATGCTTTTATCTATGCGTTCTTCGTAGAGCTGAAAATGAGTCGAGTCGAGTCAAACTCGCCTCAACTCGTCAATAATTGGTTCAACTCAACTTTTGATTCGAGTTCGGCACGAACTTTTTTTAAACTCAAATTTGACTCATTATAAGTTCATAGGCAATTCGATTTAGCTCGTTAAGTTCATCTCGTTAGATTCAACTCACTTGATTCAAAGACTTAAAAATCATTTTTTAAGTCAATTTTTTATATATATTTAACAAGTAAAATTATTATTTTTTATAAAAGAAAATATCAAAATAAAATAAAAGTTATTAAAATGGAATTTAACTTTATCTTAAAAATTCACTAATTCAAAAACTTCACAACTTTAAAAAGATATAATTAAAAGTCTAATTCAAAAATTACTCAATTAGAGTTTAAATTTGTCTAAAAAAATTCACAACTTTATCTAAATATTTAGGAACCTACAAATTTAATAAAATAGTACACCAAAAATTACTAGAAATTGATACATTTCTATCACAAAATGATTACATGATGACGAGAAAACGCATCGGTTATATCGCTAGATTTCATTGACTTTTACCGCGCATTCACCGTTTTAACGCTCGATTCCTCGAGTTTTTCTTACTATTTTGCAGGTACATCGATATGTGAGGCCAAATCAAGAATTAAGAAGAAAAGAACAAAGAAACCACAAGAAATGAAGAAAGACAGAAGCCTGCATAAAACTCTGCATAATTTGTTACGACCACGGTCGTTACAAGGGTGTCACGACCGTGACACCTTACTTTGGGACCTCACGACCGTGAGGAAGTAGTCACGACCGTGACACTTGAAAACATAAGACAACGAGCGTGAAGACCTTGTCACGCCCGTGACAAGGATATAACTTGATTCTTTTGACTCAGACTACGTCAAAGCCACCAGTGAAGCCACTCCTCCTAGTAATTCTCACGTGAGGGAGACTTCTCCCACTTTCTGCTGCCACTTTCCAACATTTTCTCAACCACTTCAGCAAAGCCCAAGAAGCAAAAGATCAAGGACCAGCCCATTGGAAGCTCTATAAATAGGACCAGTTCAGGAAGATTGAGGGACAGACTTGAGTATCCAAATTTCCTGCGGAAGCTCTGCCGAATTACCTTACCATCAGAATTATTATTCCAGCATTTTATTTTCTGCCTTATTTTATTTGTATCCAAACCAACCGTGTAACAATTTCCAACATTAGGGAATTGTTATACCTTTATTTGTTTCCAGCCTTCAGCATTTCGTTTTAATTTTTATTTCCGCCTACTCCAAGCCTTCCGGTCTGTGGAAGAAGGAGTCTACTCAGATATTTGTTAATCAGGTTTTTTCAGTCATTGCAATTTAATTTATTTATTTATAATGTCTATTTATTTTTCTGCCATTAGTAAGCTAATAATTAACTCTGAGTCTGATTTAACCTCGATGAGTAGCTAAATACCTTAGGGCGGTATGTAGTTATAACTGACTTAACCGGTAAAATATAACCATAGGCTAAAATAATTAATCACTTAATATTCTGGCTGATACTTTTTAATTGAAATAGACCTTTTCGTTACGAGAGTAAGAAAAGAGTATTAGGTTGGGTCAAGACCACGAGAGTGTGAGATTTTAACCAGATAGCTAAAGTTAGGCATTTAAATTAAATACAGCGAGAGCGCTTTAAGATAAATTAGAATTATTTAGTTTCCAAAAATTATCTCTAAACACTTATGGGCTAGCGAGAGCAGGCATAGGGCTTTAGGGATAAGATCTGATTCAAGACCACGAGAGTGTGAGTTGAGGGTATTCAAACTAGTAATCTCTACCGAATAGATTAAGTGAACATCTTTATAAGCCTAGGTTAGATTGACCCACCTAAGTTAGTATAATTACATACCGACCGTTTTAGTATTATTTTATTAAAAACTTAAATTTAATTCCGCTTTTAATAGTCTTAGAAAACCAACAACAATCGTGACAACTATTCGCCTTAGCTAAACTAGAAGTTCATCTAGCACTAGGTAACGATAGAATCCCTGTGGATCGATAATCTTAAATATTACTTCGATAGGCTGTGCACTTGCAGTAAGATACCGCTAGACGCATAAGTAGACACGTCTTTAGCCCATCAAGTTTTTGGCGCCGTTGCCGGGGATTCCTCAATTTAGTTACTAGTGCACTTAGGTAGCATTGTCTAGACTAAGGTATCAACAATTTAATTTAATCTAATCTCCGAGTGTATGCCACGTACTCGCTCTAAAAGCGAAGACTTGCAACCTCTAATCCCTGAATCGGAACGCTTCTTACACGTAAGAAGACGTATACTCGATTTCGAAAATAATTCCAACATTCCAGATCTTCAATTAGATCCGCCTGAACCAGTCGTAAAATCAGAAAACGCAGGAATGGCTGAAGAACAAGCTCATCCACTCAAGTATTACGCTAATCCTTCGCAAGGTGAACCGCATTCAAGCATTGCAGCACCGGCTATCAACCGAAACGATTTCGAACTAAAACCATCATTGATATCAGCCGTGCAACAAAACCAATTCGCCGGAAATCCTACCGAGGATCCGAATCTTCATCTTTCGATCTTTGTGCAATATGCAGATACCGTAAAAGCCAATGGAGTTACCCAAGAAGCTATTAGACTACGTTTATTTCCTTTTTCGCTTCGAGACAGAGCAAGAGCATGGCTTCAATCTCTGCCTTCAAACTCAGTAACTACGTGGGAACAGCTTAAGAAAGTTTTCTTGAACAGGTATTTTCCACCTAGCAAGACAGCTATGCTGAGAGCTCAGATCAACGGATTTAAGCAAAGAGAAAGTGAATCATTATTCGAAGCTTGGGAACGCTATAAGGATCTACTTAGGCTTTGTCCACATCACGGATTAGTAGAATGGATGGTCATCCATACCTTCTATAATGGACTCTTGTACAATACAAGAATGACAATTGACGCTGCCGCAGGTGGTGCATTGATGGACAAAGAATATAGTGATGCCTATGCACTTATCGAAAGTATGGCTCAGAATCATTACCTTTGGGGAAGCGAAAGAGTCGCAACCGAGAAACCAACAAAGGGAGGTATGTACGAAGTAAGTAGTAT